GTACTTATAATAACTATTGATGCGTCAGCAATTCAGTTGCCAATCCTATATTTTCAGCACTAGCTAATAGGTTTCCGAAAAGGTTCAATTCATCGTTTGAGCTGCGTGTTAGTCCAAAATTCTCTTAAAAGATATATTTTCTAATCATTAAATTCATTTAAGTTAAAAAGTGACGCCAGAACGCAGGAAATGCTGTTTCAGAGGCCCAAATTTTAAAAATTTCCCGGGGGAGCATGCCCCCGGACCCCCCTAACGGTTGTGTCGACCTAGTAAACCGGTCACCCAAAACGCTGAATCCGCCCCTGGATCAGCTGCAATCGTCTAGCTAAGAGCCGAGTTATAGAATACAGTATAGAGCTAGCTATACTTCACATATCGTTTGACATTACGGAGTATTTTATTCCGCAAGCTATTTTAGTTGAATCAATTTTATAATATTTTTCCCCTTGGCCTTGTGAATAACTTGTAATATCAAATATCATTGCGTTAGGCATTAAAAATAATATTCAACTTCTCCCTCACATCAGTTTTGCTTGTGATTTTTTCGTGCGGGTTGTAACCGAACGCGAGGTCTGTACAGAGAAATATCGCGCCGAGGTCTTTTTTGTACACAGGGCCGTACGCAGGATTTTTTCACCAGGGGAGGCAGTAAGGCCTATATGCCGAAAAAAGTCCCAAAATTCATGCAAAGAACAATTAATAATGACATTCTAAAAATCGTAAATATAGTTTTCTCTGGGGGGTCAGTTGCCCCCCCCCCCCCCCAAGGCCCTGGAAATTAATGGACCACTGAAAGTGCTTCTCATCCAATCACAGTTCTCCATTTCACCAGAAGTGATGCTTGCCATATAATAATAGTTTATAATTGCCCGATTTCAGTTTAATTAAAGTCTCTTATCCAGGAAATTTTTCAATAGCCATACTAATAGTTATACATCATACTACCATAAACTAATAGGTTATAATAAAACTACTAACATGCTTAATATTGAACTGAGATCAGGCTCTACTTCAAAAATAGAACCTGACACAAAGTCCCAGGAGTCAATGCCCAATTATATGTCAATATCATGAACTATACGTCAATATCATTATATGTCAATATCATGAACTAAATATATCATGAACTATACTATAGCAATTATAACCAATCAAAAAGATACATCAAAATTTCTTTGTCAGATGGATCAATCAAATGAAAAGCCGGATTTTGGCAATGTGGCCGAAATTTCGAGCGAAAGATTATATAAACTGGACTGTGTAGCTCAGTTGGTTAGAGCACTGCACCGAAATCGCAGGTTCGATTCCTGCCAGAGGGTCTCCAGTTGCATTTTTCGCAGCCGCTCCTGGTTTGGTCTAAAGTTCTATATAATCTTCTGCTCGAAATTACAAAAACCCAATTCAATTGTTAGTTCTACTGAGACTGCGTGATGCCCAAAGGTCCTGATTGTATGTTAACTTTATATATTGCTAAACTATTTTTTATGTCTTATTAAAAAACTCATTAATATTTCATGAGGAAAACACAAAGAAAAATCATAAGCTTGTCGTATCTTTATATGTGATTGAGATTTCCCTTGATTTATAGAAACTAGTAAGTTCATTGGCGAAGTAATTTTCAAAAATTACGTTGTCTAAGTCGAGAATACCAAAATTAAAGTTTATGTATATCAAGGGAAATCTCTATCACATATAAAGATACGACACGCTTATGATTTTTCTTTGTGTTTTCCTCATGAATTATTAATGAGTTTTTGAAGTACTATTTAAAAAACGAGCAGGAGTGTTTTATTACGTTTAAAGCCACGAGCGCGCAGCGCGAGTGGCTTTAGACCTAATAAAACACGACCTGCAAGTTTCTTAAATGGCTTCAAAAACGTTTGCATAAAAAGTCAAATCTGAATATGAAAAATCTTTATATAAAAATCTTTATATAAAAATCTTTATATAAAAATCTTTATATAGTTTGCATAACAATGGTCTTTTGTTAAAGTGTTCTTTAGCTGGTATAAAGACGCATGCACGTGACTAATTTCTTACTCAAGATTGGATAATTGCTTCATCAATTATTAATGTTTGATTATATTCAGTGCTTATTCTTTCAAAAATCCAAAAGAATCGAGCAAGTCGTTGCACAATGAAAATCGAAGAAAGAGGAAAAATAGTTCCTTCCAATAGTCAAGGAACTCTACAGCATACTGCTGACACTCGGCAAGATTGGTCTTGATCAGTTCAAACACAGCCGTTCTTTGCGAATTAACGCCGGAGAAAATCTCGCTGATCATTCCTTGGACAACAGGGCGAATGATTGGAACCCAAGCTCGCAGCACGTTACACGGATTTGCTAAAAACTGCGGGAGGAGATTCGGAAACATCACAGATACAATGGGGGTTCCTTGTTGCAGTATTTGCTCGGCGACATCTCGTTCCGTAGTGTACAAAATGAACTGCATTTCTCGAGTGAGCGTATCACACCAGCTTTTGAGAAGAGGCTCCATCGTCAGAGTATCCACAAAACGTGGCGCTGCATGCTGACGATTTTCATTTGAACGATACACCGGAAAACTGCCTCTTCCGCGAAGTTGAAATCTTTCAAGAGAAACAGCATCAGCGAATACATCTCGTTGCTCTATTCGCTCAAATTTTCCACGACAGTTAGCCAATTTACCAAGAGCATCATCGATACAAACCCACATTTCATCTTTGCAATCTTTGAAATGTAAACACTCCGCTTCAGAGAACTTGAAGATCGCTCGAAAAGCATCGATAAACATTCGAGCTTTCTCTGCTTTAATCTTTCCTACGTGGCACTTGTCACCGCATAGTTCCAATGCTTTTGCGATCAAATGAGAAGAAGCCAGGCGGAATATACGTAGAGCATCATCCACGCGCTCCGTATTGCGGTAGAGAAGACCAAGAAACAAAGCAGCCAAGATAAGGCCTTGAGCCATAATAGAAGCCCAAAGTTCTTGTCCTTTGGGGCATCGGAAGCGCACAAACAGTTCCAAAAGTTTCTCCACATGTTTGATCAATTCTTCCTGGTTTTCTGCCCCTTCCAGAAATACCATGTATGTATGGTAGAGAATGCGCATGTAATCACCATTCCCTGTGTAGTGCCTCGCTTTCCGCATCGCAAGTTCGACACTGGGGTCTTTGTACACCCCCTGCATCATGTGACAGCTTCCTGACATAAACAAGGCCGTGTTTTCAAAGAGACTGACTACACTTCCCTTCGACTCCATGATTGTCTCGTACAACATTCGGGCAGAGTTAAATTCATGCAAAGCTTCATTGTAGCTTCCCTGACGAAATTTCAGAAATCCAGAAATTAGCATATTGTACGCACATACAGTTACTTCTGTTGTCGAATCGGGAGCGAATGTGCCCGATTCACTAGCTTCGCGGGCGGCATTCAAGAATGTTTCGATGTTTGTGACGTCATCTTAATGGAAAGATGCCATGGCAGCGATCAAATATGTAAAGATTCCCCACTCGCTGTTGTTACCATCTCCCATGGACGTCAAAATTTTCTCGCAATATTTCGAGGTGTAATCAGGGTGGAGGCAGGACAAATACGCCAGGCACAGTCGCTTCAAATCTTCATCATTAGCACTTTCATAAGCTTGTGTAAATTTGTCGATCATAACGTTGAAGAATCGGTACGAAGTGAACGAAAGAGCAACAGCGGAATTGAAGTGGGAGTACTCGTAAAACGTTTCACTTGACACGAACTGAATAGTAGCGCTCTCGTGTGCTTGAAGCTTGAGCAGAATTTTTTTCACACGTTTCTGAAATGGAAATACTGTATAGAAGAATCGAATACACAAGTCTCTAACCAGTTCCAAATTAATGTCAATAGATTGATCGAAGAAGGAAAAGATCTCGTCTTGTCGACCACATCGCAGGTAAGCCATTAACCGAACTTCGTTCACAATGCTAACAACGACAGACAAATTGCGGTGAGCATCGCCGGAAATCATATCATCTTCAAGCAGGCGATCTACGACGCTCCACGGAGAATTGTCGATCACACTAGAATCATAAAATTTACCAATGTTAGTTATTAGCATCCCAACAGCACGGTATAGTTTCTTCTTGATCGACGAAATCAGTCCGATATCTCGCGACGTTAACGAGAACTGGAATTGGTCGAGAGCATTTTGAAGACAGACAATGGCTGATGACTGACGAACGTTAAAATTTGAAGCATCTTCAGAGATCTCTGTCATAGAAAGAACAAGGGCATCGTAGGTGTCGACTAGTTCTGGATCGTTGCCATACAGAAAGGAAACATTACTCAGAACTGTGGATAAATCATCATTATTCTCTACTGGAGAACCATCAAATTTCAACGCAGAAACATAAAGTTCGGCTAGTTCTGTTGGCGTTTTTATAAGATCTTTATTTTGTCCCCTTCCTAGTACCAGATGACCCAGAGGAGTTTTGCAAGCCTTGCTCATTCGACCGTCCACAGAAAAACCACACATTTCGTCATCGTAAAATCCTTTACCAAGAAATGGCCATTCTGTTGCGTCATCACAACATTCCTGACTTGTGCATGAACTGCTTGAACACTTGTACCTTTGCAGAGAATGTATTAAATTATTTGCATCGTTCAAGGAAGGAATACACATCGAAGGCAAAATTGTTTCTTGTAAATTCAACACCTTATAATTGAAATATTCCATTAATTTCATAAAGTACTCTTTGACAGACGCGTCATTCTTGCCGTCTTCGATCAATAAGGCTGATTCCAAATCACTAAACGGTGTTGCTTCTCCTCTCGCAAACGATCCAAAACCGATAAAAGCGTAGTTAACGTCCTGAGGAGGCTGTCCGAATACTTGTATGCATTCGTCCAACAATAGGGCAACGGCGTCTTTCATAAACTCTCGGATTTCACTAAAAATCTCTCGTATTGCTTTTGCTCGCCTGGCTTCGCTCACGGCATCTGTGTCGTGTAGTGGAGAAGTAAACACGCTATAATCACTCTGAACAGACTTCAATTTCCCGCTACATTGCTGTCTGAATTCATACAATTTGCTCTTGTGGTTTTTATCGATATCGTGTTGAAATTCGCTCGTGTTTATAGCCTGACCACAGTGGGAAATTATGTCTTCCTCAATTCGACGTAGCTTTGTTTCTAACTCGTTTTTCTTCGTGGAATCGTTGCTGCGAATCAAGCTGGAATTGTAAAGAGCAGTGGCAAGAATGAACTGGTCCAAGCGAGCAAACGGTGTGTCTGAATCATCTTCGAGTAATGCACGAGCGTTGTAAACGTCGCCAAGTTTTCCCAACCCAATTGCCTCGTCGTGTTTATTCTCATCATCGTGGGCTATCTTCAATGCTTTTGCGATTTCTAGCTCACGATGCCAGCTCGTTACTGAATGAAGTTCTGCTTTCTCTAACTGGGCTGTAAACGAAGCTTTCGCAGACGTTGACATGGTGGAATAGCGAGTTTAATCAAAGTGAACACTTGAATAATTCCAATTGCTTTGAACTGGGTTATAATAATATATGCTAAACTCCCGCAGCTTTAACAAGAAAACGGAAATTGCAAACAATACGCTATTACTAAGAAACGTGGATTTAAAGTTAAAAAAAAACGGTGATTAATATCTATGCTTTATATCTGACTAAATAAACGAACTTCTCGGTATTTTTGGTAATGAAATAGAGCATGAATAGAAAGTATCTTATAAGATTCATGTTTCAAACAGGCAATTTGCATTGTGTCGGATTAAAACATCGTAAAAATAGAGTCACGATCTTTCTCAGCGGCCAGTTTATAATAGTTTATAACTTTATACCTGTAAACCACATATAAATCATAGTATTCTCTATTTATAATCATTTCAAGTATTTTCAAATCTAAAATGTTGTATTTCAGCTGATGAGAAAGATCGTAACTCAATCTTTAGGACCTTTACAACCGTATGGGAATCAAGGTTTAAGCTAGTGACATTCAATAGCGTTTCGAAATCCACCTCATTTAATATATCGACGTTCGAGTAAAGGCTGAAATGGCTATCTTTAAAACCGGAAACTGGGATTCTAGGAAATTTGATTCCCCAGAATCTAGATTCCCCGTTTTTCACATAAAAAGTGACATGTCATAACTATGAGGCCGGATGTCTTATGCGGAGGTTGTGTCCCAGTTGGTACCCAGTGCCGGAATGAGGATTGACAAAATATTGGTGCATGGTGGGAATGATCACGTTTGAAATGAATACAACTGGAACGTTACCTGTCTTTTTCTTAAAGCCAAACCTACGATGGCCGAGGAGGGCCACTTCTGACTTCCGAGTTCCGACTTCTGACTTCCGACTTCCGACTTCCGACTTCTGACTTCTGACTTCTGACTTCCGACTTCTGACTTCTGACTTCTGAGTTCCGACTTCTGACTTCTGACTTCCGACTTCTGACTTCTTCTGCCTTTCCAGCTAAACACGGCAAATCCAAATCGATTGCTTCGATTCTGCATTAATTTTGCTGATAACGTCCTAAATATATCATCATTTTCTTATCCAGAATTTCCAAATTCATTATTTTATTTCATTTTTTCAATTTTATGTTGCCGTGTTTCCAACAGTATTTCCATTCTTTGTTAGTAATACTTATTTTTGATATCGTATATATTTTAGTGTAAAAAAGACCATGTTCAACGAGATATTCTTTACACAAATTCAATTTCACTGTCTCAACAGTTTAAATTTAGCTGTATGGGACATTTAAATTGGATTATCACTAATTTAAATTTAACATTTACATAAATTATTTTTAAAACTTAGCTAGTTCTCAAGAACTTTCCAAAAGTCTGTCTTCTGACTTCCGACTTCCGACTTCCGACTTCTGACTTCCGACTTCCGACTTCTGACTTCTGACTTCCGACTTCTGACTTCCGACTTCCGACTTCCGACTTCTGACTTCTGACTTCTGACTTCCGACTTCTGACTTCTGACTTCTGACTTCCGACTTCCGACTTCTGACTTCTGACTTCCGACTTCCGACTTCTGACTTCCGACTTCTGACTTCTGACTTCTGACTTCCGACTTCCGACTTCCGACTTCTGACTTCTGACTTCTGACTTCCGACTTCTGACTTCCGACTTCTGACTTCTGACTTCCGACTTCCGACTTCTGACTTCTGACTTCCGACTTCTGACTTCTGAGTTCTGACTTCCGACTTCTGACTTCCGACTTCTGACTTCCGACTTCCGACTTCCGACTTCTGACTTCCGACTTCTGACTTCCGACTTCTGACTTCTGACTTCCGACTTCTGACTTCAGAGTTCAAACATATCCGAATCTCTCGAAGACGAAAGAACAAACGAGATGCGCGTCGTTTTTTGTTTTATATTTATACTTTTTGTTTTAAGTACTGTAGCTGTGTTGCCGCCATATACGCCTGCAACACAAGCAGAAAATTATGATGTACGAGTGACTATCACAGACTACTTTAATCAGGGGTATAACAATTATGAAATTTTGGCGTTTCTTTCATTGCTACACGGGGCAGTTATGAGTCTACGGACCCTTAAACGTTGGCTTCGACGACTACAACTTAAGAGACCAAGTCAAAGGAATGAATCATCGCTAGAGGATATTGTGTCAGCGATTTTAATGGAAATGGAAAGGTCTGTCGGTTCGTTTGTGGGATATCGTGAAATGACAAAGCGTTTGAAGAAAAAGCACAATTTAGTTGTAAGGCGAGATACTATAATGCGGGCAATGAGAGTGATTGATCCTGATGGAGTTAACGCTCGAAAACGCCGGAGACTGAAACGTCGTCAGTACAACACCCCTGGGCCAAACTTTTTGTGGCACATAGATGGATGGGATAAATTAAAACCCTATGGGTTTTCTGTGCATGCATGCATTGATGGATTCTCACGGCGGCTCCTATGGCTGGAGGTATGTACGACGAACAAAAATCCAAATGTGATTGTCGACTACTTTCTCAGCACTGTTCAACAACTTGGCGGAGTACCAAGGTTAGTTAGAACTGACAAAGGAACCGAGAATGTCTGGATTTCGGTAATGCAAAGGCTGCTACGCATGGATCAAAATGATAACCTCGCTGGGTATAAAAGTTTCATTGAAGGTAAAAGTAGTGCAAATCAAAGAATTGAAGCATATTGGTCGAAACTTAGGCTAGGAGGTGGTGGTTGGTGGATGAACTTTTTCAAAGATCTTCGAGATTCAGGTGTGTACGCAGACCACGACCCCCTTCACCAAGAGTGCCTGAAATTTTGTTTTATGAATGTTCTACGTAAAGAGCTTAACTCGATCGCTGAAATGTGGAATGTTAAGGCCGTTTTCCACTAGGCGAATTTTTTCGCGCGACGCGAAGCGAAAACCGAAATCCGGCAACGTGATTGGTCGGCGAAAAAATTCGCGGCGAAAAAGTAGGATCGCTTCCTACTTTTTATCTGTTCGCGCGAATAAATTCGCCTAGTGGAAAACGGCCATTAAGGATATCCAAGTCAAGAAAAATGCACAACTTCATGGGGGAAAACCGGATGTGATGTACTTTCTGCCAGAAGTTTATCGCAAAAGGAATTATCTGGTCCCTACTAACATGGATGACGTTCAAACCTGCCGATTTTTGTACGGAGAAACGCGCCGTGATTATTCTATTGAATTTGAAAATCTTGTCAACCATCTCGTGCCCGGTGTGCCAGTTCCTGAAAATACAGAGCAGGGGTTGGAGTTGTTTCGGCGAATAATTCAGGAGGTTAATGACATGCAGAATCGTAATTAGTCAATTATTTCCACTTAGAAACCACGCGATTTAAATTAATAGAGGGTGGGAAAGGGTATTTTCGTGAGCCGTGAATGGTCAATAATTGCCGTTCACGTGAAATGTGAAATGTTTGATTTTAGTGTCGTGAAATGTGATTTGTTCTACAGCCGTGAGGCGTGATTGTCAATAAAAATGCTCCGTGAAATGAGAATTGAGGATGCCTGTTTCGTGAACTGTGATTTTGTTATGTTTATTTCGATCTATTTCATAATAGTCATAACAGACATGATATACGCGATAATCAATTTATATGATCGATCTCACTCGATTGCACAAGAGTAAAAACTTCGGAGGCCTTTCGGAGGTTGTCGGACATACTCGTCACTCCAATTTGTAAGTTATGATGTAGTTTTTAACTAACAGGTAGAGAAGTGAGAGAACGTAAAGCGTAGATACTGTACCATGCATTGAACATGCTCTAAATAAACATATTATTATTATATTATTTTATTAGAATCTAGTTTTCCGTGAAATTGTTTTTTTTAAGACACGTGAATCGTGAAACGGATTTTTTTTTGTTGTGAAACGTGCTCCATACTCCCCTTTCCCACCCTCTTAGCGAAGTTGTTTCCGTTACTATTTTCTTTCATATTTGACACATCAGAACTATGTAGCTTTGAGTTTTATCGCTATTTCAAAAATATTAAAATCATCATGGTAGTCTATATAACATTTACCGAATTACTATAGAGCATATCTCCCTTCGAATTTTATATGAAAATTTGAAGTTTCTGTAATTCTGTCTGTTTTCAAATTGAAATCGAGGCTAATACAGTAATATGTGTATAATGCTACGCTCTAGTAATTCTGCAAATGGCTAACAGCTTTGTTTTCAATGTGTGACATCGCAAGGCTATAGGGATAGAATAACATGAACCATGTAAAGTTTAATATAAGAGTACACCGGTTGTCCCAAAAACGTCACGTTACGCTGTTCGGTTTGATTGCTTGATATAACAGAATATTTGTTTGAAATATCCAACATGTATATGACCATATGTTTGCGATGTTACTCTGAGTGCATATCCACAACGGGCGATTTCATAATCGGGGGACTGGTACCTAATCTTGAGTTTTCGCGCGAAAATATTAAAAATATATGCAAAAATAAATACAAATTTTTCAGTCAAAATTCCGAACCACAAGTCATGTTTATTTTGATGTTTTGAGTCTTCCTTGCTCTCATTTATTCTCAAAGAACAAACTTCGTCCTGATTTAGCCCTGAACATTGAATAACTAGTCTTTTTAGAAGATATTTTAAGGTAAAAAATGCAATGTTCAACGTTCAAACTCTTGTGAAAACCGGCGATCGGCCCGACCGGCGAAACGTTTTTTACTGCAATATTTGGCGATTTATAAGTTCATATCCAGAGCTTTTTTGTACTTACAACTGGTAAATGTATTCAAAGTGTTACTAACAGCAAAGAAAATCAGTGAAACAGCATCATGCGCCGGTTAAACTGTTTTAAATTGTCAACAACAACATGAAAACACACAAGTTACGACTGAAAACGAATATAAAACTATGTAGAGAAGCCAAAAAGTTCATACATGTCACACATATCTTATACCAAACGACACAATCACCTGTTTTCTTGGCGAAAACTAAATATATTTGGATTTCTAAGCAAGAAAATACAACATATATTTGATATTTCGACGAGACTAAATACTTTTTTGTGCGTGTTTTTCTGGAGATGCGCCTGCGAAAACATGTACGCGCATGTCAATTCATTGATCTTGCAGAGCTCGAAAAACTTTCGGCCGAGCGAGTGAGATACCACAATAAAACGGAGTAATTCACAATTTTGCACGGTGACATGTGATGAAATTTTGCACAACGATAACTTCTTTTAAAACAAATAGAATATCAAAATTTTAAAAAAATCTGTAGATTGGAAAACTCTAAATCCGCAATTTTTTATTCTGGCAATTCTAATCTACAGATTTTTTTTATTTTCAGGGATAAGATTCCGCATTAAAAGTGAAAGCTATACAGCAGTTAAAAATGAGGTGTCACCGGCAATATTCGGAAATTTACCATGGAAACAATATTATGTTCAAGAATATTGCAAATTTTTTCTACCAAATACTTAATTTATACTCGGGAATGCTTAAAATTAATAGATGAAGTGATAAAATTTATAAATTGAAATTTTTACGCAATAAGGTATTTATACTACGGAACTGTATGGAGCCACCTTAAACAGTACATTGTCTAGGCGGACAAACCCGATCACTTAAGGGAAAGTACATTTATTACGCCGAGGGGAAGGGGGATGAAGATGTCTTGAAAAAAGCTCATATTTTTACAGGGCCTCTGTTGAGGTTATTGGTAAATTTTCGATGCCCCCCCCCCAAGCTTTTAAGGAAATTTCATAATTATTTAAAAGTAGAAGCAGGCGAAGTATTTGATTCAGTGTAATTTCGGAATTTTTTATTCCTTTTTGAGCTTTCTCCTCTATTTATCAAATATACGTCTTTTGGTGCTTGTTTAAACGTTTTGTAGAAAGTAAAACCGCATGACAGCGTGGTATTTTCGCCCAAAATACATTGGGGTCAGTGGAATTTTGTATCAATTAAAAGCGATAGTAATGCGCTTGCAGAATTTTCGAAGCCACGAATCAGATCGAAGCAAGTAATTAAACTTTATAGTAACTTCAAATCATTCAACTTAATTTTTCCATTACCAAAAGCTCATTGAAATGTGAAATAATTTTTCATAATTTTGTTTTCCGGCTCCGGCAAAATATGGCCGGGCTCCGGCGCACAGATCTAACATATCGTATGCTTTTTTGTTTTTGGAACTGCTACTTTTTGGAAATTACTTCACAAAACCTTGCGCCAAAAAATTTAAAATAAGCTATAAGTGATTTCATGTATCCATTTCAGTAGAAGAGCAGACTAAGGATATCTTAAAACTGAAATCGGTTTCGAATACAACCATCAGGGACGTAGCAAAGCATCTGGCGTTTGGGGGGGGGTGTTGGAGGATTATACGTGTAATAATTATAATAAAGCTTTTTGTGATTGATTGGTACTCTCATAATAAGTTTTGAGAGAAAAGGGAGGTCTGGGTGTCCTCACCCAGAACATTTTTACATTTTTGAAGCTCTAGGACTGAATTTCTGGCGTTTTCTAAAGCAAATTCGCAAACAAATTTCATGTGAATTGACTGTACTTTACAAAATGGTTATCATATCACAAAAATAATTAGTTTATTACCCAAATTTTACCTGAAAATGTCAAACTTCTAAATTGAATTTTACATGATTTTTGCTTGAATTTCACAATTGGGGGGAGTTTCCAAACCATTTATTCTATTAACTATGGTGGGAGTGAACACTCCAGGCCCCTGCTGGACCAAAACTTTGAAAAGTTTAGAGCCCCCCCCCCCTTTCCCTCTTCAGTATATCGAGAACTTTCAGAGCAAAAAACCGTTTAAAAGTATTATATGCGGTTTTTGTACGTTTTCCGATGTTGCAAGTCGGTTTTATTGTAATTGAATACAAAATTTCCCATTTTTTTGCTGTAACACAATTTAATACAGGACAATCATTCATTCTTTGCTTGTGAACTTTTCTTGGTAGTAATGTACCTATATGCCTTTCAAATAAACCACAAACCAAGTGAAGCCACATGGGTGCCACGAAGCGAAATCATTTTGACCAACGACCCACAGCCTATAATTGCTTAAATGGCGTAAACTTTTCATGTATATTATTAACAAGTAATATTATGGTTTCTCGTTCAATTTGGAAAAACATACACTTGTAAGTTTTTGAAAGACGTCAAATTACACTCATGCAATATGGATCGTCTTTGAAAAACCCATGGCGCATGTTTTTTCCAAATTCCACTGGAAACCATACTATTACCTATACTAATTAATGTGCACTTCTTACTTTTAGAAAAGTTATTTTTTAACGTGTGTCGTATACGGAATTCTCAATACAGATTTTCCAACGTAAATTTCAGCGTATTTGTCAAAAAATAATTATGCGTTTATGCTCGTAAATTCCGCCTCATTCCCCGATAATATTGGACAGCTTAAATTAAACAAGTCCTCCCGACAATGTCTCGTGCAAAACGGCTGTCATTTGATTTGTTTCTCATTATGCACATTCTAATTTTCGCTTTAATTCCTAAGGAATAAGGAGAAGAAATATAAACAAAACTGTAAGGTATATGAGAAATAATTTAAAATTTAAGTTAACTTCTAACTTCATTGAAATACGCGTATAACTAGCGGTTCTAGTTTTTCAGCTTTATAAAACCAAACAGCGTTTTATATATATATATATATATATATATATATATATATATATATATATATATATATATATATATATATATATATATATATATATATATATATATATAGCCCTCTTTTAGGTCCAAATTTCCGAAAATTTGTCAATTTTCCATGAAGGTAGGGGGAGGGGGGGGGGCGGCCGCCCCACTCCCCGCCTCACCAAGATTTCCGCCACTGAAGAGAGAGAGACACCGAACTTTTCATCAATAAAACTTTATTCCAGTATAGGAAGTAATATGAATCATACATGAAATGTCAATAATTAATATAAACGTATTATAATTGTCTAGTAATAATAAACATAAACTATATAATTCAACTATCTTTACTCTTTAGACTTTACATTTTACTGTATAATAATGCAGTTAGCAAGCAATGCCATTTGCCTATATAGTCTAATAGACGGCCTTCGTGATTGAGATCGAGGCTTGGATAATATCACGAAAACGAGGTTCTATAGTCAAATGACGTCATCTCCTGAAGGGTGTATTATAGCAAGATTAAGGCAATCACACATGTGAGATATTACGTAATAACGAAGGGATTTTTTTTAGTTTTCACTTTGTACCTGATTGGACTTTTTGTATTTAACATTATTACATATACTCATATAGCCGGCCATGCAGAAAAAGCAATCACCAATATAATTATATGGATAGCAAATAATGCCTTTCGTGTTTATCTATATTTTGGCGACAAAATTAACTCCATATAACGGGTTTTACTGCTGTATTTCCTTGACATTGTTTCAACCATAACACGAAAAGTCAATTGAATACATGTCTAAATTGACAAATGCGTATTGTATTCACAAAATGGTAAATTTCAGTTACTTAATTAATGATATTTAACAATCGGAAGAACATTAACGCAACAACAGGGTCTCTGTAAAGAACGGAAACCGAAACGACCGAATCCGGAAACGACCGAAACCGGAAACGACCGAAACCGGAAATTCCCGCCTAAATTTCCCGCATAACGAATAATTATATTGTTGATGCTCGATCGCTGGCATAACATTTAGATAAATATCGTCCGAAAGTAAGGTTGTATACTATTTAACTGCTGACAATTTTGTAAATTATTTAATAATCTTACTGCATATTATTAACTTTCTGAACAATGCCGGTTCATGCCGGTTTTGTTTAATTTAATAAAAACGATATTGCATTCACTTTCTCATTTGACATACGATACGGCTTCCACTAAAATGGCACGCTCTTGATTTTGAAAAAAATAAATACATGCTCATTTAGACGTATTCCAAATCCCAATTTATCTGACTGCATTTTAATAGCTTCAAATATTCAGAACATTGTTCTTTCAATCACAAGTAGTACAAGTATTATTGCATTCAATGGTAGTATTTTATTCGACTTTTAATTTGTATGTGTATTGATTAACTCGTAATGTATTATCTGCAGCCTATATTTAATATATTGTGCGGCTTGCTAATGCTTCGTATTATTGTTATATACATTTCTTTATCCTGATGATGATTGAAATATAGTCGAAACGTTGATAAATACAAAAATGTTATCGATCTTTGGAGTTTACACACTTGTTTTATACATTTCGTCGTTGTACATTTCACGCCCTGCGTCAATTTGATAGTTGACAGTCTTTGTTTATTATAAGGGATGAATGAATAAAACGCATGGTTCAGTGCAGGCTCGCCTTTCTATCAGTGAGCCTGCTAGCAGGCTAAATTTAGGCAATTTTATGCAGGAAATTAGGCGGGAATTTCCAGTTTCAGTCGTTTCCGGTTTCGGTCGTTTCCGGATTCGGTCGTTTCGGTTTCCGTTCTTTACAGAGACCCCGCAACAACAAGAAAACTAAGTAGTCATCATTCAAATACAAGTATTCATAGGGGCTAATATTTTCGCTTACCATTCGCCCTTTAGTAATTGTAAAGCAGTTGGTCTATCAGCCATGTTATAATTTAGACACAAACTAATATTATACTTGGGCATTGGCTTCAGTTTTACAAGCGTATGAGGTAATAATAATGACTTCTGTGCTGATACTAGCTTTTCGACTTCTGATACTGCCTGGATGTCTTTAAGTACTGCATCCCATGCATCATCTAATGTAAGAAACTCCAAAAGTGTTAGCCCTAAGGACCAAATATCACTACACTGGGCAGGTCTTTTTTTATTTAATAGGCACTCCGGTGCCATGTAAGAGGGTGTCCCTTCTAACACAGGCTCTGCACCTACTTGTTGGCTAACTACCAGGCTCATGGACGCATGTTGCCTCAAACGGCCAAGACCGAAATCACATAACTTTGCGACGTTAAGCTTTGATGACACAAGTATATTAGCAGGTTTTATATCACCATGAACCACTCCCACTTCGTGTAAGTAAGCCACTCCCTTCAAAATGTCCTTGACTAATCCCTGTATTCCCTCGACTTCTTTTTCTTCATCTATGATATCTTGAAGGGAACTGCCAGCAACAAACTCAGTGACAAGCAGAACATCTTTTTTCTTTATGGATACGCCCATGAATGTCACTATGTTTGGGTGACGAAGCCTGCTATGTATCATTGCTTCTCTCTGAATAGACTCGCTTACGCTTGCACCTCGTCGTATCTGTTTGACAGCAACATCTGTGCACAACCAATTGCCACGGAAGACTTTACCAAAAGATCCCATACCAACAGGGTCTTTCCAGTTGACATCAAGTTTTTCAAGTGGGATTTCAACAAGGTTTAGTGGTTGCTGTTCTTGGACTGTGCTGACAACAGTTGTTCTAAAATTATTTACACAAGAACAATATAATTATAAATTCTATTCTTACTTTTTCTAGTTTTTTAGTCTTCACAAACCACAAATCATCCTACAATAATCCCCTCTCTCCAGAAATTAAAGGAACTTATTTTTTATGGCGTACAATATCCGCCAAAATTCAAGTTTGCATTTTCAACACACAAGTTCGCATTTTCAACACGCAAGTTTGCATTTTCAACACACAAGTTCGCATTTTCAACACGCAAGTTTGCATTTTCAACACACAAGTTCGCATTTTCAACACGCAAGTTTGCATTTTCAACACACAAGTTGGTACACAGTCGCCCAGGCTCTGTGTTGGTATTTATTTATTTTTTAATTTTATTATAATTTTGCATTAAAAATTTACTTTAAATTATGAAGTATAACCGACTTAGTTTCCTTTATGTATTCTATGTGATTTAGGGGTGGTTTTAGTTTGATATAATGACATAAAAACATCACGAGAATGCGATATAATATACACTTTATATATTGTAAAATATTGTAAAAAAAAAGTGCCTAAATACGCACTGATTTAAAATATTGGTGGACTTACTTGTTTACTGTATCATTTACTTCCCTTTCGTCGATTTTCAGGCCATTTCATTGAACTCGGCCTGTATTGTATGTCATCTAATATTTATACCCACTATCATTAACGCAAATGTAGGTAGCTGTAACGCCGGGCGAACTTGGGCAAGACATTATTTC